AGAGCCAGCACATGGAGAAAACATGCCTACCAAGCATGAGTCCTGAAGAGGCAGCTTCTGAAAATAGAGGACAAAGTTTTTTACACTGCTGTATCCCACAGTGATTCACAGAGATTAAGTACTGAATGAATATCAGCTGAGTGAAATAAAAAAATCTCACCAGCAGGTATGGTGGTATACACTGTAATTCCAGCTACTCAAAAGAATCACAAGTTCAAGGCCAGCCTCTGCAATTTATCAAGACCTTGTCTCAAGATCAAATAAAAAGGGGCTGGGGCTGTAACTCAGTGGTAGAATGCTTGCCTAGCATGTATGTGGTCCTAGATTCAATCTCCAGTACTGGGGAAAAAACACATATTACCAGGCTTATAGGACTGCAAACAAATAAGAAGTTGTGCTTTCTTTGCTGGTCTTGCAAATACTCTTTAAAAAGTGTTCCTGCACTGATGCCACAACCTTTTAGTTAAAGGAGGACGATGTAACCCATATTGTGACCATTTAGAGGGACTTATTCACAGGAGATAGCATGCATAAGATTAACAATACAGAGAGAGTAACTTACTCTAAAAGAATTCAAAATAAAATCTTAATTCCTTGGGTGACAATAATTCCTTGGTCATTAGGGCACTGTGTTATCTTGAAAGAAGAAAAACTGTTTTAAAGACATTGCAAAGTTTCTCTCTTCCTTTCTCATGGTAAAGCTAAAAACAGACAATGGGTTAAAGCAATGGTATTCAGTTTCCACCAGTTCCAAGGTGAACTGGGTAGGTCACTACAAAGAAGCCTCAAGAATACACAGTGATTGGGCTGGGATTGTGGCTCAGTGGTAGAGCAATCCCCTAGTACGGGCGGGACCCAGGTTCGATTCTCAGCACCACATAAAAATAAAGGCATTGTGTTGTGTCCATCTACAAAAAAGATTCTCTCTCTTAAAAAAAAAAAAAAAAAAAAGAATACACAGTGATCTACTAATGGTCACGAAGCTATTCAAACAGCCTAATAATTAGTAGAGCTAAGAAGAGACTTTCCACTGTTGATCACTTTATATCAGTTCCCTTTACCATGGGCATCCACAAAAATATTTTGTTTTGTACCACTGAATATCCATAGTTTAAATTTACCCTACTTTTATATCATGTCCCTTCATGCCCCATCACTACCATCAAGACCACAGTTCTAGGAGAAGAAGAACCATCTCTCACCTCCTGTCTTTAAGCTACATAATGGCTCAAATGCCCAGTCCCCTACAGAGCTTTCTGTAAATAGCCTGTCCTCAGCAGGAGGGAATCTCTGTCCTTGCTTCCTCTGAGGGTTGAGTATTAGTCTGCCCTACTCTTTTACTTCAAGATTTTAGCACGTCTTCATTTTAAATGTTTCACGCCCCAGGAGAATTAAAAGAAGTTTTTCTTCACAAAACATCTGAGGTCCATGTATTTAATATCCAAACTTTTTTTTAAAAAAAAAAAGCTAGCCAATGGTAGACACTTATGAATCAGCTAAATTATGATTTGGCCATTTTTCTTTTACAGCAATTATCTTTGGCTTTCAGACAAAAATGAATGATTAGGGTTTTGAATCTCTTCTGGCAAAGAAATACACAGCATGAGCTGAATGCTTAACTTTGTGCGTGTCAGTAGAACAAGTTCTATAGATATGAATTTGCAGAGTTAATCCTCCTTCATTATCTCCATTAGTTAACAATGCACATGGAGTCACTGCACATAATTACTGCTCTACCAGACATGGACATTGAAATATTAACTTTCCCACAGACTCAAAATCTTCAGTAAGCAGCTCTTAACAATTCATCATATTAATAATATATGTCACCACAGTCCTATTAAATATTCATGAGATTAAATATCTGTTTTGGAAACATTTTTTGTAATATTTGTTATATTTTAGATGCTATAATTATAACTGAAGGATAAGGAAAACAACCCCCAGGGAAAAGGGGGAACAACAACTCCCAAGAAGAAAGGAGGACAATGGGTCCCGAGGAATTCAGGAAACAATGGGCTCTGAACTTTCACAATTTCTCCTTCTACAACTATTTCCCTGACTGCTCACCTGACATATTCTGCTATAATTAAATCTATATGGTTAAGTCTCACTACCCATGCTGATATGGTGATTAAGTCTCACTTAAACCCTATAAAAATCAGACCCTTCTTGTAACCAGTTGCCATGTTCTCCCCTGAAAATGTGCCATTTTGTTGCTTAATAAAGAAAGCTTGCTGATCCATTGAGGTCTGTTCCCTGTTTCATTTATTTTTGCTTTCAATAACGGCACTTAGGTACCATGATAATAAAGGTAAGTTTAACTGTCTGTTTATAACCAGCAATAAAACTAAATCCACATTTATTCAATTTTTAATATGTTTCAAATGAGAATATTTCATTATACAATGTATAAGGTATTTTTTAAAGTAATATGTTTATATCCTACAATTCACTCTTCAGAGCTCATTACTACCATTAATTCATGCTTATCTTTCTCATACTTACATAGCTATTTTTACTATACATGTATGTACCTATAAATAATCCATATATAATAAAATTATATGCAGTAGGATTACTAGTCTAAAATTGCATTAAAGAGGAGTAAATTGATTTTCTCAGGTATTTTGTAGGCAAATAACTAATTCCAAATTGAAACTCAACAAGAAATAAGCATGTAATACACTGATGTTTATATAAAAAAGTACACACTGTAAAAAGTCTTATTTGGCATATTAGAATGTTACATTTCTAATCAAATACTTTGTAAGCTTTTATAAAGTCTTTTTATTCAAATTATCACAAAAAAACTAGATATGATCTAAAAACAGCAAATAAAAAACTTAGCAGAAAAAGAAAATAAAATTTCAAATAAAGGTAAAAACATATCATTAACCTCAGATCATGTTATGTTACACTTTATGGCTGGAATCATAACAGGTTATTAAGCATAAGATCGAAACAATAGCTACAGCCACAGCTACTTGTAGCAACTTAACTTACTGTGTGTGAGGCACTATTATTAGCACTTAACATTTATATCTCCTTTAATTTTTTTCTCATTTAATTTTCACAATAACCAAGTGAAATGGATGATAACATTATTTGCATTTTACAGATGAAAAAGAGGAGGTCTACACCAATTAAATAACTTGCCCAGGGTCACAAGCGTGGCAACAAAAGAGTCTGACTCCAGTTCTTCCCTTCCAACCATAACATCAGCACCAGCTCCCAACTCTGAACCCCATTTGCTCCTGGGGCCTTGGGCATGTCCTACAAAGTTTCTAAAGCTCATTTCCTTTAGCTACAAAGATGTAAATAATGTTAATATATACTAGTTATTGAAAAAAATGAGATAGTTCACAAAAAAGTACTGAGAAAAACATGAAACTACACAATGTTGGTTATTATGTTATTGATTAGAAAAGACAACAAAATGTTGAAAATAATGAAAAACATACTAACTGGCTTTTAGTCAAAATTGTAGTATACCTAGTTAAATATTCCTCATTATCTTACCTTGCTTAACTCAGAAATGACTACGTGAAGGCAAACTGAATCAGTATAATTATTATACCTAAGAGATAGGGAAGCCATAATAAAATAAGATAAAAGTGAACAGTGAGGCTAGGAAAGTAGCCTTGGACATGGGCATCATGAAAACTGTTGTACTATCACATGTGGTCTTTCAGAGAGCTCTTCAAAACTAAGTCTTTTAAAAGCTCCCAACCCCAATTTACAATGTCTATACACACATAGTGACTTCTGACACTATTTAAATCCTTAGCCCAGAAAGGGAAAATAATATTCAAATCTTCATCATTCATCAATTTAAATACATTAACATTGGGTTTATTTTTTCATTGGTTTCATATTTTAAAAAATATTTCATATATATTATGTCAGCCAAGATGCTAAAATAAGTATCACAAAATTTTAATATCAAGAAACTAAAATTCACCAAGGTTTATAATGTTAAGAAATGTATATACCTATGTATAGTAATATGTATGTTGTACATAAGCATGTTATCTCTATCACTCTGATTTAATATTAGAAAACCAAGAAAATCCCCTGGTATTTTTGGAATTATACCAATGAAGTACTTACTACATCAAAGACTAGGAAAAAAGATTAAGAAAATAAGCAGTAAAGGAAGTATTGAAAATTTCTTGACAAATACAGACCAATAACTACTTCTATTAAGAACATGAAATTAGTTTTTTATCCAAGTTAGAACAAGATGCAGAATTTAACAGAAAGCAATGGGATGAGTAACCTTTTGTTTTCTGTCCACAACACTGACTCAGGCAACCATGAACAATGCCCTATTACCCTTTTGCTAAACTTCTTTCTCACCCTGTCCCCATCCTCATTCCTGCGGAGCTGCTCAGCATCCAGCTATCACAGCTATCAGGATATTTAAATAAACAAGGTCCTGGGATGATGGTATGATGACAGGCACCTAAAGAATGTAGCCCCATGCTCTCAAACACCATCACATTTTGCCTGGGCTTTCTTAGAGACTTGGGGTGTCACTACTCACAATTTAATGGCTATTTGTCTGTTCTAGATAATCAGTTAACCCCAAGCTTCAGCTTCCTTGTCTATAATGTGAGGTAACTAGCTTATTTGTAAAGTACTAAGACCTTGCCATTTTAGGAAATCTACATCCAACTTTCCAAGGTTCTGATAATTTTCTGAGGCATGTGATTTTTAAGTATCTTGTGACTTTTCAGCCTTTCTTGATGACTATAATGACTTAAAGAAAGTATACAGCCAAAAGAAAAGAGAGAAAAAAAAAGAAAAACAGGGCCACATATTTTCAGCAATTCTTTAATCACTTTCAAGACTTTCATACCATTAGATAAGGAATAAAGGAAACCTTTAATTGCATATGTCCACAAGTATGTGAAGTCAAATTGTTAAATTTTTACTTGATGATAGAAGATGAAAGAAAATCTAAGAATATATGGAATCTGCAAGGTCCTACCTACCTCCTGGCCGTTCATGCTCTCCATCAGTGTGCAAAAGCATGGCAACAGGCATGCCTACATTCTTGGATCTTCCAGCCACAACCACATTTTTCCCAAATGTTTCAATTCCTTAAAATACAGAGTTTGGTTTAAATGAAGAATCAACAACAAGAAACAAATTAAGCATCAGAACACTCAACTGAAACATTCTTTAAAAAGTTCTAATTAAATTTGGGTTTACGCAGCTTGTTTCTAACATGCCCACATTCAATTATTTATAAATATTTATTTTTATGCTTCTTGGATTTGTCACTTTCCCTTTGATTATGTCCTCATTTAAAAACCACAAACATCCTCAAGTTGCCATCAAATTAATTTTAAACATTGAGATTCACTCGAAGAGTTAGAAGTGCAAAGCCTTAAAATATATTAACTACTAATTACAAAATAAGCCAAGTACAACAATATCAAGCTTCACTGGCAATCAAATTTTGAGCAAAGCTGGAATAAAGTAAGTGAAAAAAAAGGATTTTGCACAGTGCTAATGTACTTCATTCCATACAAAAGAAGCACCAAACTTTCCATCTTAGAAAGATGAAAAAGATAAAGCCTGAAAATTCATATACTCTACCTCTTTGGAGCTCAGTTTCTTCATAAGTAAAATAAAGAAGTTGAAACTTAGGGTTTTCTAAGTATAATTATTTCAGAGTATGATTCCAGGATCTGCTTTCTCTTGGAGATTTTGTCTCAGAAAATAGCAGATTAGAATAGAGAAGATGTTGCCAGATAGGGAGGTGATAGTGGTGGCAGCAGGAAAATCATCAACACACAAAGCAATTTGAGGTCAATTAACATAGAGGTAAATATCTCTACACTCCCAGGCAGTCTGTGAGAGCAAGACTGTATCTGGCATAGTAGAAGAACAAATGTTTACAGTGAAATCTTAGGTCAATAGACATGGCTTCTATAAGAACAACATGTTAGTTTATTAATGGAAAATATAACTCATTTTGAAAAAGTTTTCATCCAAATGCATGAAATTTATAGTTTAAAAGTAGGGAAACAAACTACAATTTGGAAAATTTACTCCCTACATGTTACAACTGCAGTGCCCATAACCTGGCACATGGCCTTCATTCCATTTTATTTTGGATTTGGTCTTTGACTTCTATAATTTTATACCTTTCTACAGATTGAAGTTTTGTGGCTTATTATTTCTGTCACTTTGCAAGGTTAAGGTAATTCTATCAAGGCAATTTGCAAATGCTCATTTCAGGTCCTAATACCTCTGTCCATCAGACCCCAAGTTACCAACCTGTTCTTTTAATTATTTCCCAAACAGCACCAGCAGTGGCAGGTATGAGAGAATGCTGATCAAGGCACAGTCTTCCAATATTGATAATATGAAATCCATCCACATCTTTTTCTGGGGAAATTCCATTGCATATTGTTCGCTCATCCACATGATCTGAAAAATAAATAAAATTGGTCTCATTTTAAAATTGCTGTTTATGTGGAAATATGGAATGTGAAATATAGGGACCAACAGTCACATCACTATGGTTCAGTTCCAGGAAAGATATAACACCCTTACTCTTTCCTTGCCACCAAAAAGCAAGCCAAGGGGGTCTTGACTAATAGCTGTTATTAATGACTCTTAGAGTATATGCTATTATAGGGTCAGAAGTGGCTGGATTGATGAGTCTTTGCCTCAAAAAGTTTGCATATTAAGAGTATTTAAACCCACTTTACTCTAATACAAAACATTTCTGTTAATAGGTTTCTATTCAATACTTTGAGCACTGCAGATTAAAGGGGCTTTATTATTGTGTTAAAAATAGCCATCACATGGTTAATTCAAGTTTCCTCTTAAGTTACATAAGGAAAAAGCAAATATCCAACACACACTTTCCATAAAGCATTAACACATTCAAATCTAAAATATCACTATGGTTTGCTATGCATAAGGAAAAGAACACAACCTGAATAATGAATTAATCAAGTGATATATGGCATACCAATCATCTCATTTAAAAAAGTATTGACATAAAATAGGTTCTTACTATTTTATGAAGAATCATTTAGTTTACCTTTATCTCAATTATTAACTCATGTGCCTAACATATTTGGTATGTAAATACTTCTTTGTCCATTACAAAATGAATGCCATTTATACTGTGTGTGTATGTGTGTGTGTGTATGTGTGTGTGTGTGTGTGTGTGTGTGTGTGTGACTGTGCACGCACATGTGCTTTCTGGGGAATCAAATCCAGGACATCATATATACTAGGAAAAAGCTCTATCTATACATGTTTCTTCTTCTTTTTTCCCACCTATATATATATTTTTAAAAATCCTAAAAGCACAAAGTCCCAACTGTTTTTAAAGAATTATGTTTTGTTTCTGTCATCTTTGTATTCTAAAGATGACAACTGCCACCTTACTTTACATATATCCAATTTACCATCATCAAGCTACGAAACTCCATTAAACATAAAAGTAGTCACTTTAATCACTTTCAAATAGAAACACTTTGGAATGTCTCTCTCATCAATAGTTTTTCATTTTTCATAACTTCACTCATTCTATAATGAGCAGGGTAAACCTCATCTATTTTCTCTAAAGCTAGAAGATCATTATAGATTCTAGCAAAACTTTAAATAATTACATGTTTAATTTACTATTTGAGGACAAAAATAATGGTTCCATTTTTCTAAAATCTGGAAGATGATGATGATTATGAAGATGGTGATGAGTCTTTTTTTAGTCATGCAGAAGTTTCATGATATGGATATTTTTGCAATAATTCAAAGGCTTTATAAATTAAAAGAAAAACAATTATATTTGAAGTTCTCATTTTCTAATAAGGGCCCAAGTTAGTTCATTAGTGAAAACTCTACTAATATATGTATGATATATGTATGAGCTGATCCATTTATTAAAAGAACTCAAAAAGGGCTCGTCTTTAGATTTTAAGAGCTATTTTACCAATAAGCCTGAGCTACATTGACTTTTAGCATCTACAGCTCTGTGCTGCCCATTCACTTAAAGAACACTGAAAAGACCTGCCCTCTGTGTCCTTCCTTCATTTCTTCCTCACTCCTGCCTCCTTCCCTTCCTTTCTTGGTTTTGTTTATTTGTTTGTTGTTTTGCATTTTTGTTGTTATTGTTGGGTTGTTTTTGTTTTTTGTTTTTTTTAGTCCTGGACAGCTCAGGGTCTTGGGTATGCTAAGCACATGTTCTACCCGAGTTATACCCTACCCTTTGTGTACCTCTTATACTTCATTTTTAAAAATCTTTGGGCCACTGATAAAGAATGTGTTATTTAATAAACAGAATTAGGGAAATTCCCACGTGAACAAAAGGAATTTTTACTTTATACAACCCACAAAAGTAGGTTCTGAATGTATTACATTAAAAATTAATGTTTATGACTCAAATTTAACAAACTATCTTTATGAGAGCAAAGTCCTCTTATATACTTATTTAACTTCTACTCACATCATACCTTAGATCATTATTCCATAACAATTTTGTCTTGAGCTACTTAAGTGTTAGTAGTTTTAAAAGACAGATGTGTGGACATTCAAATGGTATGACACAGGATTCAATTAGCTAAGGTTATTTAGTCTAAAAGGAAGGATTTCATATGAATAGAGGAAAAAAGATTAAGATCAGAAAAATTAAGAAATCCAATTCATTTGTCATTTTTATGAAATTCTGTGTTATGTCAGCAGTAGATTAAATTTCACATACATCCTGTGCCAAGAAAGATTTATTTTTCTAATGTAATGTGAAATATATAGTAATAATTTGAGTTAGCGTACCTTACATTTAAATAGTGATTTATAATGACTTTCCTAGTTACTGGGGACTAAGGTAGAAAATGTTAATTATTTTGAAGCCTAGGCTCAAAGACTTTGAAATTCAGCCAATCTTAGATAATTTCTAAGAAAGGGATCTGGAATTCAAATTTATATCCTTTTGCTATAAAACCAGCTTTTCCTTCTGTATTATACAGAAGTCATAAAAATGCTAATAATGTTAAATACCATTCAAAGAGTAAAGTAAGAGAGGCCTCTCCCACCCCAACTCCTAGTAAGACATTTGATAACCCTAACATATCCCAAGAAATGTACTGTTTCATCTAAGACTTCAAACACAACACTATTACTGGATTAAATGTTATATGTCTAAGCACATGCAAAAAATATCAAATATTTTTCAATTAATAATCTTACCTTTTGATATTTCAGTAAGAGAAATAAATATGTTTCATAATTTTGAATGACTTACCTGAAGTCACCCTTAGGACATATGATTAGAAGATTCACTAATACCAGTTTTGTCACAGTATTTATAAAAACATTTTTGGTTCTCAGAAGCAATTTTATAACCTTACAGTGGTAAACAGGACACTCATGATCTCTACTACTCCAAACCCCAATCATCTATCTGATCTCATCACTAACTACTCTTTTCTCAATTAGCATCACACTAGTCTCCTTGTTCTTCCTCAAAAAAGTTAGGCATTTTCCCACCTTGGCTACAGCCTTCTGTCGTGGAAGGTTTTTTTTTTTTTCTAAAAACAAACAAACAAAAACAATCAAAAACTGTCTTGTCACCTTAGCTAAACTATTACCTTCATTCAAATGTTTCCTTACACGACTACATGACACATTTTCACTAATACACCCACTATTCAGATCACACCATTTTAAAATATATGATCTACTTCTAATAATAGTTAAGTAGCTTATATTAAATCAAACATCTCATAGAAAACAACTGCAATCTTTGGAAAAATCATTAAATAAAACCAACTGTCAAAAAAAAATGGAGAGTCATTAAAAGCAGACAGATTTGGTGGAAGTGGATATCTGCAAGAAAGGAATATCACCGAAGAAACTTCCTATTTTGGAGGTTTTTATAGCTACAGGACAGCTGGAATTTGGGTAGAAATTCACAGCCTTACTTGATTAAGGAATCAAAGGATGAAGTTTGGGGCTACTACCGCAGTGGAAAAGGAGAAGCCACACCCAGGAGACCCAAACATTGTATATAAAATCTCCACAGACACACACAGAAAGCAAACTTCTAGAAGCCCCTTTAAGGTGAACAACACCAAATGAATGAAAGTTTTAGCTTGAAACACTAAAATAGAAACAAATTTTAAAGTCTTCAATCTGTTATAGACATGTTCAAAAAAACCCAGCAACTTAACATCATACTTAGTAGTAAAATACTGAAACTTTTCACTTAAAATCAGAAGAGTATCCAATCCCAACATTTTTATTTAATGTTTTATTGCAGATCTTACCTAGTGCTAACAAGATTAAAGAAAAAGACATAGAGTTCAGAAAGAAATAAGTAAAACTCTCATCACAGATAGCATAGATGTTTATGTTGAGTATCCCACAAATTTTATAAAATAATGACTAGAACTATTAAAGTCACTTTAACAAGATCACATTGTACAACCAATTATATTTCTGCCCATAAGCAGAAACTATTAGAAAATGAAATTTTAAAAAATGCTATTCACAGTACTATTCACAAATACTATTTACAATACTAATCATAATGCTTACAAATTTATTAACGCTTACAATTTATTAATTCCCTAGGAATAAATTTTTCAAATTTAAGGATGATTTCCATAATAAGAATTACAAAATACCGTAAACAGTTTTACCTTAATAAATTCAGGGTATATCATGTTTATGAAGAGAAGACTCAATAAAGTTGTATCAAGAGTCCCAAATGAATCTATGCTTTCACTGCAATATTGATCATAATCCTATGAGGTTTGTTATTAGATTCTAAAATATATATGAAGATATAAAGAATTTAGAATATTCAAAACAATCTTGAAAATTACCAGAGTTAGAAAAATTACACCACTTTTATGCTAAAAAGCTATAATTAACAAGAAAATGTGGCACTGGCATAAGGATAGACAATTAGATCTATGGAACAGAACTGAGAGTCCAGTTTTGGAATTATACTCATAAAGTCATTTGATATTTTACAAAAGTACCATGGTGTGTTAGTCAGCTTTTCCTCACAGTGACAAAATACCTTCCAGTAGCACCATGGAATGGAAACCAAGCCTTTAATACATGGGACTTTGGAAGACATTAAAGATGCAAACTACAACACATGGCAATCAAATTCTTATTAACAAATAGTACTTGAATACCTGAGAAGCCATGTTGGTGGGAGGAACTAATCATAATACCTGCTTCATACTATACAGAAAAATTAACTGAAAATTGATTATAAACTTAAGCATAAAATCTAAAAACTATACAGTTACTGAGTGAAACTTAGAAGAATCTTTTTATGGGCTGGGTTAAAGCAAAAACTTTTTTTTAAGCAGGGAAGAAATTTTATTTATCAGTTTCCAAAGATAGAAAGGAAAATTCTTCATAAGACTAACATAAATTGTAAATGACATTTAAAAGAT